ACGAAATAATGTGCTGTGGTTTTTTGAAAACGGGTCGCGTGCGGTCCGTATACGGTTCCTATTTCAACCGAACGCTGAGCGTCCGTAACGGATCCGTTCCCATTTTACCTGTGTAGTCAGAGACATGATTAGCTTTGCAACATCCTTTTTTATTTTTCCTAACTTGATGATATTCGTTAACGAGCAACGATTTCTTCAGAGATTTCGTCGGAGCGTCCTGGTGACGAATTCCTTGGAGGCGGAGAACTGAGGAACTATCATTACACATTTTCCAATAAAAATTAATTAAATTCTCGCTCCGTACTTTGTTAACTCTCTCCATATTACTGAACCCAATTCCCGGCGTTTCTAATGCTATGAGAGCAAAAAGATAAATTAAGTTTCACCTGCTATGGAGAGCAAGAGAAAGAGAGTCTCCTCTAACACTTCGATTTTTTTCGAATGACGTTTCATTTTATATCCAAATCAGTTTTTTTTGGAAAGTCTGAATATCCGGAGATTCAGCATGATTCTCTTGGTTTTTGGTTCTTATTGTTTCCGATTTCCATAGTCACGCCCACTTTTGTTCCTGTGTGTTGAAAATTTGAAAATCACCTATCTAGTGCAAGTTGAGTTTATGTTTTTTGATTCCAAATTTCAAGCTTTTAGTCTTCTTATCATAATTGAACGGTTACGAAATTGTTGAAATGGCATATGGTTTTGTAAGCAAGTCAGCGAGGCAGGTTGGGCCTAGCCAATTTGTTAGAGTAATCTGATAGGCCCGCTCAGCCCAAAAATCCCGGTTGTTTCATATTTATGGTGTTTGAAGGGGGACTCCGATAAAAAAATTTTTGCAGAATCGTTCCAAAAGTCATCTATTTTTCTAGAAAAATCGAATTAAACAAAAGAAATAATCCGAAATCCCCGGAAACGCCGTTGAAAACTGAATATTTACAAAAAAGGTGCCGAGGAGGGACGAGGATTCGAACTGTGAAACCTAGGCCACGGCGCCCGGGAGCATTTCTTACATGGCCTAGGTTTCTCACCTCCTCCCTCCTTGGCACCTTTTTCTGAAAATTTACAATTTTCAACCGCGTTTTCGAGAGCTTTCGGATTTTTTTGAAGGTTATTGTTCTCTGGGCGTTTTTATTTCTCTAGCCGTCTTTGTCTGGCTTCGGACCACTACAGACCGCGGCTCGGCCCAGATCGCGACATTGGTTTTGCCATTTGCACCATACCATATTTCAAAATATAAATATTAATAAAATTCACATCATTCTTGAAAATCGGTCTTCAATCCTACCAATTTATTTTCAATTTTCCTCGTTTCTTCATGTTTATCACCATTTCTTCACATAACCAACTCTATAATTATTTTCAGCTGTCTATAACTCCTAACTGAATACAGTCTCTCTTTTCCCGCCAAATCGACTTTTCGTCTATTGGTCATACCTTCCGTTTCCATGCTTCACTTCTTGTTTTAAATTCAAAGAGATGTGTGCCAAACTCAGTATGGATATATACGAAAAAAGCTAATTAGGCTGGTTGTTATTTGTCTAGAAAAGAGAGATAATGTGCTTTCTTTCTCCCCTCTTCTTTTCTGTCGTCATCGTTACCTTCGTCCCATGAGCAAAGATCTTTTTTTATTCCTAAACTACACCTTCCTCTTATTTTAATATGTTTCCGTTTCTCAGAAGAACACAGATGGGAAACTGCGATAGTCGAGAACTTGCGGAACAAACAAAACAGAGTAAGAAGATTAATACAGAACTGGCAATTGCTAAAAAAGACGATGAGAATGTCATAAAACTGCTTTTGTTGGGAGCCGGAGAAAGTGGCAAAAGTACAGTACTCAAACAGATGAGGTTTGTCGTATAGGCTTTAGATGATTATTCAAAATTGTCATTTCTTTTCAGGATCATTCACAACAGTGGTTTCTCACAAGAAGAATCAATGACTAAACGAAATGTTGTTTGTGCCAATACAATTCAAGCAATGGGCGCTTTGATTGAAGGAATGAGACAACTTCGAATAGATTTTGTCAATAGAATTTGTAATGTGAGTTTGAGGTTCCAACTTGAAACTTTCAAGCCAGAAGGGAACATCAGAAAAAATGTTTTAGGCCCATGAAAAGTTAATTCGGGAAACATTGAGTGAGAACACGGAATACAATCCGTTCAATGATGCAATGTACACGTAAGTTGAAAACCGAAATCTGCAATTGGCGACCTACTTTTCAGAGCACTTTCGGATTTGTGGGCAGATAAAGGAATCCAAAGTGCCTATGGCAAAAGAGAGCTTTTCTATCTTGCCGACTCTGCTAAATAGTAAGTTATTTTACATAGAAATCAATTTACTTCTGAAAAAAATCTAATTGTTCATTATCATCATTCAAATCCAAAAAAAATTATTTTTTTCCCTCCACCATCTTCCCATTTTGCTGTTGTCCGAAAAGTTCGAACAAAAGGGGGCGGAGTCGGCGCACACACAAAGTATAGCGGGCGGCGGAACCCGGGAAGTGTCGGCCGCTGCGCGTGGTTAGGTTCGGCGCCCGCGTTGTTTTCATCGAGACCATACTATACAGAATCATTTCTGCAGTATGTATCTCGTAATTCCCATCAAATTGGTAGAGATGCCATCCGCGATGAGTGGGAGACGGGCAAAACGCGAGCGTGAAACAGTTCTTCGGAGCTTGATGACCGCACGGAGCCGATTCGTTTTGGAGCCGTAGTGGCTTGCTCTTCTGAGCGGATATAAATGAAACAAGTGAATAGAACCAGGGAACTGGTGTCTTGAAAAAAATTAGGTTGCAAAAATACAAAGGAAACTATTGCCTTCGAAAATTTTCG